TTTAGAATATATATATATATATATATTATTTGACAGTAATGGAATAATAGTAAATTCAGTGATAAAGTAATGGCATAATGGTAAATTCAGTGATAAAATAAAGGTATAGGCATAATGGTAAATAAAGTAAGGGTATAATGGTAAATTTGACGAAAAAAAGTAACACCGTCAGTAGTAAAGTGACGGTGTTAACATCAAAGGGAGAGTGTGCAGGCAGATATATAATAGGAGGGGGTTTGACGCAATTTTTAAATTACGAGGGGAAAACGCGCAGATTTAGTATATTACAGGGGGGTTTGGTGCAATTTACCCCTTTTTTATTTGAGCTTTTGTACTTTTTTTTTGGGTGTTACTATTTACCACATGCTTTTTACTAAATACCGCCCCTGGAAATGACCATTTTGCCCTTTTGTAATTTTAAATTTTTTTTTTTTTGGAACTGGCCGGCCGCTAATTGCGGCCGGAACTCGCTCGGCCGGCCCCTAATTGCGGGCGCAGCTCGCGCGGCCGACCCTTAATAGCGGCCGCAACTAGCTCGGCCGCGCGCGGCTGGCCATTTTTTTTTTATATATAAAATAAATATTTTAGAAAATATAAAAAAATTTATTACTATTAAATATAAGAGAAATCGATTAATAATTATTAAGACAAATTGTTACAACATATATAGCCATTTTTTGTCTTTCGTTGAACTTTCTCATTCAATGTGGGACAATTGCAAATCAAAGTTTTCACTCTCCCAATCTTTTATAGCCACTCTTGGCCTTTATTATTGTGTTTGTAATCAATATGGGATTGTCTCAAACCTCTAGTCTTTTATAACTACTTTTTGCATTCTTTGTTGTTTTCAAAATCAACGTGGGACTAAATGATCCATGTTTTAACACACTTTCACTATGTATGTCAAGATGAATATCACATTATTATTAATTAAACTTATTATTATCTTAAAATGATAAATGATAAAATTTAACTAAATGAACATGAAACATGAAAAACGTTATGGACTTTTACATTTACATAATAGAAGAAAATACACTTATTATCATGAAATATGGAAAAAAACGTTATGGACTTTTGGATAATAGAAGAAATTACACTTATCATCATACTTTTCATTTTTATTTTCTTTTTGTTAGTTAAATAAAAAAATATTTAAATATTATATATATATATAAGTTAATATTAGTTAGTTTAAGTATTTGAATGTTTTTAATTGTCTTAATATTTAACTAACAAAATTTTATATATAAGTTTTATCATATAAAATATTATATATATGTTTAAAAGTATTAAAAATTAAATACCAGTCCAACCGGTTCAACCACTGGTCGAACAGTGAACCAGTAGCTAGACCGGTTCCATGACCGGTCCGGTTTTCAGAACCTTGGTTATAATTAATATTATATATATATATATATATATATATAATTAGTGAAATTATAATTAGTATTGTAATATAATGGCCACACGAGATTATCTTGATTTTTCTATAATCAAATTTTTATTTATTATATAAATTATATTAGAATTTAGATATTATATTATAAAATAAAATTTAATATCTTATAGTTAGAATTTAAAAATTATTATATTATAAATTATAATTAATTATCTTATAGAATAGAATTTTATTATTATTACGTTAGAAATTAGAAAATATTATGTTGTATAACATAATACTAATTATCTCTAACAAAATACTAATGAGTGATGTTATTAAAATACAAAATAATATTTTGACTTAAATTTGAAATTCATAAATACCAATTTAAATAACAAATTGAACGAAAAAAAATCAGATTCTGTTAGAGCAATTCATTGAGACCGACTAACTCATTATGATTTGACATAATTTTATGACAAGATTGTTTGACACTTTTTCTCATAGTTATATGATTCGTGTGAATATTATAGTAGGAAAAGCGTTCTAACAAAATAGTATAAATTAATACTAATAATCTATACCATAATAATTTCTAGCAAAATAGTAATAAATTCTAATTTATAATAGTAATAAATACTATTTTATAACAGTAGTAGTACTAAATATTACTTCATAAGGCTATCAATTCTAATATATACCATAATAATTTATAACTTCTAACATAATAGTAATAAATTCTAATCTATAACATAATCAATTCTAATCTATAATACAATAATTTCTAACCTCTAACAAAATTGTAATAAATCATAATTTATAAGACAATCAATTCTAATTTATAATACAATAATTTCTAACCTCTAGCAAAATAGTAATAAATTCTAATTTAATACAGTCATTTAAAATCTATACCATAACAATTTCTAACTTCTACTATATAATTTCTAACTTTTGACATAATAGTAATAAGTTTTAATTTATAAGATAATCAATTCTAATATATAACATAATAATATATACTAATATATT